TGGATAAGGAAGTTATTTCATATTATGGTATTTATTATACTAATTATGATAATATTTAAATAGTAACAAAGTTTTTTTTTTATGTTTTATGTATGTAAAATCTTTTATTTGAATATACTCTTTTGTTTACTACAATTTCATGTAAATAAATGTTTAAATTTTTATTTCAGCCCTTAATAGAGGTGATATTAAAGACTCAGAAATGGAAAATATCATAGATACAATGGTAGAAAGTTTGTTTTCTGTATTTGCTATATTGGGAGCAGTTCCGATTATAAGGAGTCCAAGAGGCAATGCTGCAGAAATGTTGGCCGAGAAATTAGATAAAAAACTTAGAGATAATTTAAAAGATACAAGAAATAGTTTATTTTTAATGGATGTCACTCAGGCAGGAAATTATAGGTAAATTCAAAAGAAAAATTTTTAATTACCTCGAAAAAATCAAATTTTATATTTATCATTTATGAAATTCTTTATTTTTGTTTTTTCTTTTTGAACTCAGCTTTCAAAGACCTCTTTTAATAATTCTCGATCGAAATGTTGACATGGCTACACCTTTACATCATACTTGGACCTATCAAGCTTTGGCCCATGATGTTTTAAACCTGAGTTTAAATAGGGTTGTCGTTGAAGAGGCAATGGAAAGTACGGCAGCTGGGGGAGCCAGGTCAAAAGTTAAAACGTGTCAATTGGATGCAAATGATAAATTTTGGATGACTCATAAAGGAAGGTAAGGTTTTAATAATATTCTCATGAACACTTGACGTATATTGAAAATGGACTCAACAAAAAAAAAAGTAAATTAGCAATCAATTTAATTTTGTTAATATTTATAATTTTCAAGTCCATTTCCAACAGTGGCCGAAGCAATTCAAGAAGAATTAGAACAATACAGATCAAGTGAAGAGGAAGTGAAAAGACTAAAAAAGTCAATGGGTTTGGAGGGAGAAAATGAAGTTTTATTCGATATGGTTTCTGGTAATACGGCAAAGTTGACTTCTGCCGTAAACAGCCTTCCTCAATTGTTGAAAAAAAAGCAACTTATCGACATGCACATGACCATTGCCACCGGTATCTTAAACGCAATCAAAACAAGGAGACTCGATAGTTTGTTCGAATATGAAGAAAAAATTATGGGACGAGCTGTTCTCGATAAAAGTTTACACGAATTGCTTTCCGATTTTGAAATGGGATCCCCCGAAGATAAACTAAGATTGTTTTTAATTTATTATATATGTTCATCCAATACGAACGAGGTAAGCGCAAAAAAAAAAAAATTCACTTTAAAACCGTAAAATGAAGATTTAAATTTTTTTTTTTTTTATTTTCTTTTTCTGTTATTACAGACTGAATTAGAAAAACTTACGTCGGTTTTGAAGGCTGCGGGTTGTGATTTGGCTCCACTTTCTTATTTAAAGCGATGGAAAGCTTATTTCAAAATGGCAGCTGCTCCTTCGCAGTATCAGGGCAGCGGGACAAAAACCGTATCAATGTTTTCTAAACTCGTGTCTCAGGGATCCTCTTTATTAATGGAAAACGTTAAAAATTTCATTGTTAAAAAGCACAATTTACCCGTGACGAGAATCGTGGATTATTTAATGGAAAACAAAAGTTCTTCTGAAGTGGACGATTACAGGTATTTCGATCCGAAAATGCTACGGCAGGGTGACGTGAATCCAAAATTGAAAACGACATTCCAAGAAGCTGTTGTTTTTGTCGTGGGCGGGGGTAATTACATAGAATATCAAAATTTAGTGGATTACACGAAGAATAAAGTAAGCGCGACGGGGCCTAAAAAAATTATTTACGGTGCTTCCTCATTGAACAATGCGAGTGAATTTTTAAAACAGTTATCAGTACTTGGAAGGGAACTGCAATGATTACTATTATTATTATTATTATTATTATTATTAATATTATTTGTTTCAAGGCTTCAAAAAAAGGATTTGTTTTGCCAGCTTTTAATAAGTAAATTAATTTGTTGCATTAAAAATAGTTTAATTTTTTTATATACAAGAAAAACATGGCGACGGAGAGTTAGAGTAAAACGTCATAAAAACCATCGAGTCCATTTAAAAAAAAAAATTTATTGTTCCGATTCGGAAATTTATTACAATTAATTTTTTTTTTGTTTATAACCGTCTAAAAAAAAATGTCAAATATTTTTTAAATATATATATATATATAAATATTGTAAATCTATTTTGAAATTTAATAAAACAAATTAATATATATTTATTTATATATAAAGTTTTAGGCCACGTGTACAATAATAAAATTATTCAAATGAAAATTTATTTAAAATTAATATTAATAATAATAATAATTTTTTTTATAATCGTTTAAATCTTTCGGAAAATTTTTTTTTATCAGACACAAACTAAATTTTTATCACAAGCTTTTTTAAAAAGAATTTTTTTATGATGCCATCATCATCATTTTTTTTTTTATGCCTTGTTGTTAAATTTATAAAAAAAAAAAACATTTTTGTTTCTCAATAAACCATAAAATATTTTATAAAAAAAAAAAAATTTAGATTAATAAAATGAGAAAGAGGGAGGGGGGAAGAGGGGGAGATAAAAGAAAATTTTGATGTCTTTTTATAGTTAAAACGATTTGTTTAAAAATTTAATTTGTGATTTACATATTTATGTATAATAAATAAGAAAAAAAAACATAAAATTTATTTTTTTATAAAAAAAAAAAATTATCGGAAAATAATAAATTTTTTTTTTTTAAGGGATGTGAAATAGATTATACGAGAAGAAAATAATAATAGTAATAACCTTATAAACAAAACTTTAAACAATAAAACTTTTTATTTTAAATTTTAAAAAATTTAATAAATGAATTTTTTTTTTTTAAATTTATCAAATAAAAAAAATAAATAAATAAGTTTATACATCATCATCATCATTATTATTATTATTATTATTATTATTAATACATTCTTTTTTTTATAACTAAACTAAAGTAAAAAAAAAAAAAAACTTTTACGCTCGAAATAAATTGAATATTAAAAAAAAAAAAATTTTTTTGTTATCATCCCCATAACTTACGTCTCGTAAATTTTTTTTTCTTTTTTTTTTTTTTTTTTTTTAATAAAATGAAGTTTAGAACAGTAAAAAAAAAAAAAGAAAAATAAAATAAAACAGATAGATAAGATGAAATAAAATAAAATAAAAAAAAATAAAATAAAATTTTCTCATAAAAATCTCATTTCCTAAGTAAAAGAAAACATTAAAAAATCCGGAAATTTAAAAAGAAGTTAATGTCTGAAGGGTTGGTAATGGTGGCGGTGGTGGTGGTGGTAGTAGTGGCGATGGTGGCGGTTGTAATGGCGGCGGTGGTAGAAAAACAAAAATTCTCACGACATTTAAATCACCCTCGATTTTTCTTAATAAAAATTCTTTTTTTAACGCACATTTTATTATTATTATTTATGCATTCTCTCTTTTTTTTATACCGTGTAAACATACAATAATAATAATAGTGATAATGATAACGATAATGTCAAATGCATTTTGTCTTTATTAAAAAAAAACCAACAACAACAACAACGTTCCAGGTCAAAATTTTTAACGGTTTTTCCTCTCTCTTTCTCTTTTTCTCTCTGTCTCTCTCACAGGATTAATTTTGTTTGTTTGTTTGTTTTTTGTCTCTCTCAATAGAATTGATGTATCCACATGTAATAATTAAAAAATAATTGGTTATTATTTATTTATTTATTTTTTTTAAATATTTGACCTATAATTCAAACCCC